TGGGCCCTGCTGCCATCTAGCGGCTCCGGGCAGGGGTCCCCCCCGAGCCCCCCAGAGCTGACAGGAGGCCATGGAAAGGGACAGCTCTCATGTCACCGCTCCCCAAAACCCAGGCATGAGCCCTTGTCCAGCCCTGTGCAGCCCGGCAGGCCTGGCTGCTGCGAGGAAGCTCCCTATGGGCAGCACGGAGCAGGGACTGCTCTCCGGAGCAGGTGTGGAGATCTCAGCCGGGATATATGTGACGCTTACCTTAATTACTCCAGGGCTTTTACAAGGGCTTCATTAGCTTCTACTTTAATCTGAGCTTCTGCTTTAGCTGCTTCATCAGATGCTGCAGCCATCTCTGAAACAGCCTTCTCTAGGTTTGATTTTGCAGTCTGAACAGGAGAGCAGAAGAAATGTCGTTGAGAGACCACTGCAGGAGAGGTGACTTGTCCTACAGCCCTTGAGTCACTCCGCTCCCTCCCCTGCCATACTGCCGTCCTTCGCCCCACACGTGGGGCCCCACAGACCCGCTTACACAGCTGCGCTGGCAGCAGACACCTTATCAACAGGGCCTGCTGGGGAAAAGCTGCTCCTGAGACTAAGAGGGGTGGGGAGGGGCAAGACCAGCATCTGTCCGAGGGGAGGGAAGCGGCCCGGAGAAGGGTTAACCACTGCGTGGCTTCCTCTCCCCGCAGACTGCAGAGGAGCTCTGAGCCTTTGATCCTAACCAGCAGCGATGGGGAAGCTCGGGGTGAAGGCAGGGCATGCTTTCTGCAGCCAGAGGAAACTCCTGAGACAACCACCCCCCATGAGAGAAGCAGGGAGCGAATCCCCCTCCACGAGGAAGCCCGGCTGCCGGGACCTGCCCAAGGGAGGCAGCACGCAGCCTGGTACTCACCGCCAGATCCAGCATGTCCATCGTCACCGCCTCCTCTGCCAGCACCTGCACGGTGGAGTCCGCGTGGACCGTGACAGAGCCGCTGCTCACTGCAAAGGCACAACAGCGGGGGCCGAGTCAGGCAGCGCAGGCAGGGCTGCCAGATGGGCCTCGTTTGGGACTCTGCACACAGGACAGCACTGGCAAGCTGATCCCTGGAACCTCCACGATCCCTTTGCCAAGAAAAAATCTTGATGCCTTCCCGTAACGTTTCCCAAGTCCCAAGTTTGGTAGGGACTTGTTTCCTACCAAAAAGAAAGCTAAAGCAGAGGATGCTCCCAGAAATTCTCAGCTGAACCAGGAAAACCTGGCCCCAGACCATGGCCTCACATTGAGCCCCATCTTCCAGGACAGATCCCCGGCCCGCAGGACAGCCTCCAGCAGGAGGGCGAAAGCAGAAGCCCCTGGACTTGCACCAGGCACAGCTTGATCAGCAGAGCCTCCTTTGTGAGGGCCCTGAGAACACCCCGCCACGGACACTTTCCTCCCTCCCCAGCTCCACCTGCTTTACTTACCAAAGTACTTGGTGGCCGTGCCATCCTCAGCATAGACTGTCACAACACCCGGTTTGAGGACCTGCAGGGTGGGGACGTGAGAGGCCAGGATACCGAAGGAGCCGGTCAGCGTGGGCACGTCCACCTGCTTCACGTTGGCAGCGTTGTAAAACACCTGGACGGGGAGGGCAGAGCAGATGGAAACAGCTCATCACCAGGAGCGGAGGGGAAGGAGAGAGGTGGCTCCCCCGGCTCTAGAGAGCAGAGGGGGCGGTGGGCAGCCTGGTCCCACCCTGAGGGCACAGCCCTGCTCCCAGCAGCTGGCAGGCTGCAGGATTTGACACGCAGCAACGTGTGACCAGGACAGCCTGAACCTTCACAGGGTGGGAGTGGGGCCAGACTCTGGAGGAGGGGTCCTGGCAAATGCAGTGGGAAAGCGCTCTGAGCCTCCTGGGAGGCGTGGTGGTGGCGGTGGCAGGAAGGCGGCACGCGGAGACATGAAGTCGGGAGTGGGCGAGAGGCAAAGGGTGCAGCTGGGAGAAGCCTTAAAAGAGCGTAGGGAGACCTTGACGCCAACCGTCACCGCTCCGATGGGAGTCGGCGACGCAGCCTTCGTGCGAGCGTCCCACACGCTCCGCCAATGCGGCACAAATCCTGCCTTGCAACACCACGGCCCTGTCCTGGGAGAGCGGCGAGCCCGGCTGCCCCCGCGGGCATGTCAGAGGCAG